ACTGTCTGTGTGTGAGTGGCGGTAAAAATTGTCTGACAACCAAGTTCATAACATCTGTATGTACGTAAAAGAGTCGTCATCAGTGCTGCATGTAATGATGCAACTGTCAATGTTCATGTGTTAAGCAACAAACGTGTTACTGGCATGCTGAACATCCCCATTCAACCATTATTTGAAATTGAGGTTCGCTTAGATGTAGGCTTTTGCCTACGGCATACCCCAGTCTTACAGCCGTACGCAAAGGCCGATGCCTACATAAGCGCGCAGTATGGAACACTTGAAATGAACCCAACTTCGGAGGCTCACAATGATGCTTTGGAGGGCAATTCTCAACTCCAAGTAACACTTGACATAGGTAACCACCGGCCATCCTCAATTGTGAGACATGAGTCTTGGTGAGGGTGAATGGTCTTCTCTGAAACCCAAAAAGGATTGCCTGTTCTGGCAGTAACGCACTGTGGGCTATCTGTGACTCGGGTGCTGTTGTATGAGAGAACAGGGTTCTCCTGAAGGAACCCCCACATTGAAAGCTCACAAAGACAACAGTTCCATTTGAAGCCAGGCTTATGAATTTGTCGGAGTCCGGCGTTACCAGTGTCTACCTGAGCGTACCGAATGTGGCCTCAGAAAGGGGAAAAATAGGAAGAATCACAAGGAAATGGTGCAGGGCGACAGGGATTTATTCTGTTATCAGTGTTATACGATGACCTGTCCAAACATGGACTGAAACACATGACTGATTTCTGAGCCCGCCTGCTACTAAGTCTGTGTGTGCACGCTTGCTGGACTACATGTCTGTCTGAGTGCTGGTTGGCTTGAGTGTGTGTGTGGCCGTGCCTGTCTGAGTGCTGGTTGGCTTGAGTGTGTGTGTGACCCGCAAGGGCACTTGCTCGTTCATTGGGCCCTCAGGGCCGGTACTTACCTGTGGCCGTGACATCGAGGGATTGCAGCAGGAAAAACACTCAAGTAGCGGGTAGGCCGGTACCACACCCTGAAGAGGTAGATGTGCGGGTACTGGACCCCGACCAGAAGAAGGCAAAAGTGGCATTTTTAGAGGCCCAGTAGTTGTAGGTTAGGTCTAGGCGGATACCAGTCCAACCAGTCTGGGTCTACGGCCTGTACAGGCAATATCAGAGTCTGCAATGATGTTTCCCTCCGAAAGGGAGGAGGTACCGGTTGCTTGGAAGGCCGAGCGGCCTGGAAGTCACCACCCGAAGAGGCAAGCAGGCCGCTATATCTGCCAGCCGGGCGAAGAGCCCGGCCTCTTTCTCGGTGTGCAAGTTTGGCGACACACTGGTTGGAGCGCCGGTTTGAGCAGCGCTATCCAGGAGCAGCGCTGCTGGGGGAAGGAGGACACGAAGGAGGAAGAAGGACAGGAAGGGGGAGGAGCGCCAGGGGTACTTACCTGTCTCTGGTGGCAGCCATCTTCATCACCTTGGTGGGCGCTGCAGCAGGGGGTCCCCAACTGGGGAGAGCCACACCAAGAAGCTTCAAGGCAGAGTTGGGCATGGCGGCCTGAGTGAAGCAGCCATAGCTGCTTTGGGTTGTCCTTTGGGCATCTGGGCAAGGCCTAGTAGTCYGCCATAGCCTCRGCCTATGATGAGGAAGGGAGGMGGAGGCGGCCATGGCTATGGTGGACCTCAAGTGGTGCCGGCAGTAGAAGAGGAACTCGGACATTGATTCTGGATCAGCCATTCAACATTGTATTATTATTTCTTATATGAATAAGAGAAGGGGGAGATAAGGAGGAGGAGATTGTTGGGCGAAGAGGAAGAGCCTTGTCATTCGTCTATGCTGGTGTACATCATCTTCTTCTTCTTCTTCTAATCCTCTCTCTCCTCTCAAGTTCATTCATTTCTTTCTGCAATTGGGCGGCATTGTACTATCTGATGGATGTGTATCTCGAAATTTGCCAGGATCATAACATTGGTATCAGAGCGGATTCTATTGGCTGGTGAGAGTTGACTTTGCTGCCCTAACCCTAACCTAAGTGGTTGAGGGCAACACTTAGGGTTAGGGTTGCTTGGTTAAGGGAAGTGGGGCAGCGTGGCTAAGGGAAGCTGCCCCCACCTGGTTAGGTCATGTGGGGTCGACATTGAACCTAACCAGGTTGCTTGAGAGTGAGATTAGGGTGACGAGACATTTCGGGGAGACTTCATGCGGCAATTTGAGAGAGGCGACAGTGAGAGGCACTCGCACCTGGAATCTGATTCAAGGGAGACACTTGGCAACTTAAGAGCTGCCCTCAAGTAGGCGAGCTTGAGGGTCAGCGGCCACTCAGCATCTACGGACTGCAAGTTGCTACTTTGTTTTCCAGCATCGACGGGGGATCCGGCGTTGCACTTTGATGTTGGACTCAGACCCTCCTAGGAGATAGGACACTAGTGTAGGGGTAGCGTTACAGGGGTCAGGAGGATCACATGAGAGGGGGGTGAGTTCTATTCATCTCGAAGCTCAAGGCCACTCAGGTAAGTGTCGTGTCTCTACGGGATGCCCATGTATGTGTGCTGCAGTGTGCATGCCACTGCATGGTATGGTTTGTCCTGCTGGAGTTACTCTGGGTTTCTTTTCCTACTCCTCTGTGGTGTTGATTGTGTGATTGAATGTGTGTGATCTACCTACTCACCTGATAAATGGAAAATGAAGTATCTTGATCCGAATGCCGAGTCTTTTTACAGTGCTTCTCTTTTCATCTCTGAACGGTTGTAGTCTGTAGGTTCTGCCGGAAGTTGAAATTTCGTTTTTCGGTGCGGTAGAAACTGAACTGAGTCCATGTGGAACTCCTCTTGGTTGGGACCTGGTCGCGGCCTACGTGGGACCTCTGGGACCCAGTGGGACTGGGCCCAAAAAAGAAGAGCCCTTTGGACCCAAATCTGTTTGGCACTAGTCCATTGTCTTCCTAACTGAGATCCGGAGTTTTATTCTTGTTGGTTAGGACACCCACTGCCGAGGGGATCTCGGCTGAGACGTTTCGCATGCTTTTGGTTGCACTGTCCGTGGCTTGACTCGCACCCTGTACACCACTCAATTCTCCATTGTTGCATTTAGTCACTCGTTGTCTGATTTGCTGCACGGTCACGGAGCTGGTCAGACTGGACTCAAGAGGACCTCGTATACAATTTGATCAGACTGGGTCGCTGGATCAGACCTCTCATGTGAATTTGTTTGTTGTTGTTTGGTTTGCTGCTCTCTAAGTCCAAATGAAATGTCGCTCCGACTAGGAGTTCTACCTTCTCTTCTTTGAGCTTTTCAGTTTGTCTCTCTGAGTTCATTTCCGATGCCCGTGGAGACTCGCAACCAGAAAGAAGAGAGAGAGAGAGGAGGGAGAGAGAAAAGGAAGAGAAGGAAAGTGACCGTCTAGGGTGGGCAAGGACTGGGAAACGGAGTGTTCGTCCAAGCGAAAAGGGGAGTGTACCTCTTGAGAGTCTGATTGATTCTTTTGCTGATTGGCGTCTCTCCGATCCACCTGCCGACGACAACGGTCCGAAAATGGCCCAGCCACGGCTAACCTCAGTCCAGTGGAAGGCCCTGTTAGATGCAGCCAGCGATGCAGAGAAACCGTATCTGCAAGGACTCCCAGATAGTGCCATCAAAAGGGAACAGGAGACAGAGAAGGAGAGGAAGGAATTGCTGTTGAAAAGTCAGGAGGCCATCTTGGAAATTGTCCTTTCGCTGACCAAAAAGTCGTGTGGGGAACAACTGCAATCCATACTTACCGCTATCGTCCGAGTCTGAAGCCTTGAAGATCATACCACTCAGATCGCCGAAGTCTTCGTAGAATTGCAGAAACTTCAGGAGGATTTGACTGAGATGACTGGCAAGTACCGTGACTTGACGATAGAGGTTGCTGCGCTGCGACAAGCCCAAGCGGCCAATCCTCTTCCTCTACCCCCTGGTTCCGGAGCTGCGATTGAGACTAATCTTGCCCCTCTTACCGTATCTTCTTCTACTTCTTCCTTGAGTGTGATGGCAAACCCCTCGGGACCTGCAACAGGCTATGTGACCCCCAAGGCCGCGGATCCTGCGGCCTAGGAGGCGACCGAGGAGGCCGACCGCGGGCCTGCGACCGAGGCCGCGCGGCCGTCGCACGTCGGCCTCTATGGCTCTGTTAAAAAATAAATAAAAAAGTAAAAATTTGGGGGGGGGGGGGTTGGCGTGTGAGCAAAACAATTAAATAAACAGAAAAAAAATAAATATTGATTGATTGATTGATTGATTGATTGATTGATTGATTGATAGTTTTTTTTATTGATTGATTGATTGATTGATTGATTGATTGGGGAGGGGTCCTCCCTCCCCTCCCCCGGCACACGCGCACACACACACACACACACACACACACACACACACACACACACACACACACGCACACACACACACACACACACACGCTCACTTTTGGCATAAGACCCGGGAACTCTTTTTGGGTTGCCCGAACCCTTGTCTTTCTATGAAAAAAAGGGGGGTGGCCAATCTGTGATTTACCCATACCGATTTTTTCTGGCACAGCAAGGCCCCGCTGGGAAAATGTTATAACCCACCGTATGGACTGTATCGTCGTCGTTTTTTTGGGGACTAGCAGGATGTTTCTGACTGTTAGTAGAGAGCCTCATCGTGCTTCTTTCAATCGGCAGTCCCTTGTCTGATGAAATGCCCCCTTGGGGTGGGGCCTACCTGTGCCCGGTTGGGGAAACTCTGGTGTACAAGGGGCCCGTATGACGAAACCCCCCCCCCCTTCTCAAGGGACGCTTACCCTGTTAGATCGGTGGGCACTTGATTTTGATGCGGATGGGCCTGTATTTATACCGGCCTGTCCATAAGGAACTCCTCTCCGACGGACTATACTATCGCATGCGTACGGAGGAACCCCCTGCCAATGTTTTGGCGGCACTTGCCCGACGCATGGAGTCTGCCCACCACCTAATGATGTGCGGCTATTCGGGTTGCAGCGGTAGGTCGCCCTTGACGATTATCGGCATTTCCGGCGGTAGTGATTACGGCCGGGGTGGGAGTGGTGATGGTTGGTGAAGACGCGTCGTCCAATGGGATATGATGATGCCCGAGTGAGATGACTTCGAGGGGATCTGATCTCAGATGAGCTGGTGTGTTGGGAAGATCGTGGGAGCGACGGTCTTTGCTTGTTTACTGGTACTCGCGTTCCTTTGGTGTTTGCCGGCTGGAGTCCTAGATGGGGATTGCGTGTGAGAAGGTGGAGCGAGTCTTTGATTATTGACGGTTGCAGTGTTGGGTCGCGACTGGGAGGAGGGGGACGATTGTGGTTGCGGTACGAGTTGGTTTGTGGAGGGAGGTGGGTGCTGGTTGAATGGTGAAGGAGATGCTATGAGCTGTTGCGCTCGCATATGCGAACTGGGAGTGCGCGGTATTTTCCTGGAATATGCGGCGGTGCTGTAAGTGTGTGCGGTGTGTGAATCACGAGTGATTTCGGCTCCGTGAAGTGGAGGGAGGGTGTGGTTGTCGACTGAGCAAGCTGTCATGAGGTTTCCCCTGGCATTGATGCTGGCATGGTAAAGTAATGCATTCCCCACCCGATTCCCTCTTTGTACTCCCCACCTCCCTACTCTGCTTACCAATCGCCTGAGGAGTGATGGTCTCTGTATACGGGTCCG